AAAAAAATTAAAAAAAAAAAAAAAAGAAGAGCCCGTGGTGGCATTGAGAGCATGAGCGTGCGGTTCGATAGTCCCAGTCCTCACTCTGCCACTGACCAGCTGTGGGACTTTGCATGGGTCATCTATCCCCTGAGCCTTCCTTTCCTCCTTTATAAGTCAAGCTAGGCACACGTCTCCCCTAGGGCTACAGTGAAGAAGAGATGAAAACGAGCAACGAAAAGCAAAAAGCACAATGCTGGTGCCAGGGAGTGTGTCTCATGAATGGTCACTATGCCAACCTATTTCGGTAGCCTTTCTGCAGGACCCCTCTGCCGAGGGCAGGCACGCTGGACAGAGAGAAGACATGGAGCTGGACGGGAGAGTGTGTTGACTGGAAAGAGCCAAGGGGAAACGAGCTGGAAACCAGGCTTGAGGAAGTGACACACGGACTCCAGGGGCAGCAGCAAGGAAACCTAGGAGAGCGAGTCTGAGCACAAGGCCAAGCCGAAAAGCAAGTGGGGTTATGTTTTACTAACATATACGTGGGTAGCAACAAACAAAACTACGACTCTTGGGCCAGAGTCCTACAATGGACATCTCAGGTTGCTAGAGAGCAGAGGCAATCCTGCTCCAGAACCTCCCTGCTCCACCTCCTCTCTGCCTTGACCCCTCATGACTGCTAATAGCAACAAGCTTTCCAGTAAATGTGGGGAAAACTCATCTCTCTTCCCCTATAAGGGGTGGGGGGGTGGGGGTACTAAGTATGGAGAAAGGTCCAGCACACCGGCTCCAGCCAACCGGGAGCCTGATTTCCTTAGCGAGATTAAGATCTGGACCCAAGGAGTGGTTTAACCCAACCCCCAGCACTTGGCCCAAGATCTTCTGTCAGACAGTTTTCCTCCCTGCAACTCCCTAGAGCAAGGCTTCTTCAGGTCTCTTCCCCCATTTGGCAGCTCATGGAAAGCTACTTGAAATAGTAACAGCTAGGTCTGAATTAGTAAAGAATTCCAGTTATGGGTGGGCTCGAGCTAAGAAAGAGGCTCTGTGGGCCTCCTGGTTTATTAGGGCCCTGAGAACAGACTCCATCAACACTGGCCTCATTCTTGGAGCTGAGCACTGAATTCTGCCCTTCAAGGGGTAACTGAGGGAGGTAGGCCAAACTCTCCCTCCCTCTCCTCATACCAGCAGCCTCCATTCCTGCTGGGGAAATTTAGCAGGTAGGTTCTGGAGTCTGAAGCCAGTCACATAGCATCGTGGGGAAAGGAAAGGTAATGAGAGTAATAACAGCGTAATGATCAAGAGCCAGAGTGCGGGTATAAAATACCAGCTCTGTCTTTTGCTGGCTGTATGGCCTTGAGCAAGTCACTTCACCTATGAAAGGCTAATACCAACTGGTTTGTTGAAGATTAAATAGGAGTAACATCTGTAAAAGTGCTTGGCATTGTGCCTCATCCATTTCGAGGGCTTCATAAGAGGTATCTAACATTATCCTTACAGCCTTAGAGAGAACATGGGCTTTGCAGGCAGACAGACTGAGTTCGAAGCCTGCCTTGACCGTCTGCTGACTAGCCTGGGGTAAATTACTTAAGTTTTTTGAGTTTCATGTTCCTCAGCTGTAAAACAAGGGAGATAAATTACAGGAAGAACATCCTCTGGTCTTTCTGCCCCTTCCCAATGTACACTCAACACTGACAACACACTAGAAAAAGAGAAAGCAGTTAGGGTATGTGGGTGCTCAGTTGGTTAAGCATCTGACTCTTGATTTTGGCTCAGGTTATGATCTCACGGTTGTGAGACTGAACCCTGTGTTGAGCCCACGTCAAGCCTGCTCAAGATTCTCTCCCTCTCCCTCTGCCTCTGCCCACTCCCCATGCCAATCCCACAGTGCGTGCTCTCGCTCTCAAAAAAAAGGGGGGGGTGGAGAAAATTGTCCCAGGGCTTTGTCTGTCCACAGGCTGTCACGGAAGCTGAGTGAAAGATGTGCACTGGGAGGGAGACAGTCATGGCCTGGCGTTCCAGTGAAAGTGGAAACAAAACAACTGTTTATTTTTCCTTGAATGCACTACTGGCTGAAATGGCCAGGCAGAGTTTTACAGAACTTCATTCCATTAAACAAACATCCCGGCTAAAATGGACAAAAGCCCTAGTCTTGTCACAGGAGAGCCCTTCGCGGCCAAGTGAGCCCCCGGGGTCTCCCTTTTCCCACCCCATCACTTCACCTCTTTGCAATCAAATTCAAACTCAATCTCAACAGAGTGTCACTGCAAATTGTTTATTAAAACACAAAGCAATGGACAGTGAAAAACATCCTGATTTTTTTACTTTTTGGTGGGAGTAGGGCGGGGCATGTAAAGGGTAGGGACAGATGGAGACAGCCCAGAAGGAAAGACAGCTCTATCCACCCCTACTGCTTTCCCGGGCCAGCCAGGTTCAAAGCCCCTCACTGTGCTGCTGTAAATGCATGTTGTGGCTACAGACAAAGAGTTGGTTTGACTTCCGCAGGGAGAGGATGGGAATCTAGGAGCTACCAGGGCTACTACGAACTTGACACTATTCTCCAGTACTTGGTACAGAATAGAGCAGCCAGGCCCAATCTGGAGGGGCGGGGTGGGTTTCCTGACAAGCCAGGTTAGGCCGATAATGGTTGAAGAGGCTGCTCTGAGCTCAGAATGGGCAGCTGGTCCTAGCGTGTGAGAACATGGTGGAAGGAAAATCCAAGGAGGGGACTAATCCAGGGTCAAATTTTTTTTCATTCCCTGGATCATGACACACCAGGGAAGAGAAGAGTCAAGAACGCCTCATTCCTGGTTTGCCGTGAAGATCTCCCTGCCAATTCTCCCCTCCCACCTGGCAACTCAGCTCTCCTTTCCCGACAGTTGTCCTTTGAAAGGACGGAAAGCACACTTCAGTTTGTTGTTGTTTTCCCTCATAGTGAAATAAAGCACTGAAGCTCAAAATAGAGGTGAGAATGAAGTTCTGCTTCTCCTGGTGCTATGTGCCCCCATCTCACAAGCCTGCATGGATGTGAGAGGTGCCAGGGCCCTCCCTGCCAACTCTAACAGGACTACTGTTTCCCTGGCTGCCAGCACAATCCTGGCTCCTTGTTTTTATACTCCTGGGGGGACGGGGGAGGTGGGAGGGGACCGTCCCAAGAGATCCATCCTGCTCTTTTCCTGCCAACCCAGCCAGTCCCCACATCACCTGCTCTTATCAGAATGATCTGGCAACCGAAGGCAGGCTAGCCAAAAGGCAGCTGGGGAAGGACAAACTAGATTGGCAGCAAGCCACCCTTGTACAAAGAAACCCGCCCTAGCTGGGCAGCTGACCCACTGATGCCAATCTGGTCTCATAATAAAATGAGGAAACCTAGCCCTCTTGCCCCAGGAGAGGTCTAAACACACAAAGAGTCCGAGCTCGGACGGATAGGGAGAAATTACTCTGATCTCTCTGAAGCTTGAACATTAAGGTTTCTTTGCAATTTTCTTAGAGCTCTTTGAACCCTAATTAGATCTTTCCATAGAAGAGAAGCAAACTTCTTCTAAGATTTCTGAACACATCCCAGGTGTTTCTGATTCTGCTTCTGCACTATCACTTAGCCTTACCCCAGGCTCCTTCCCCAGGGCCGCAGCAGGAGGCGGCCCAAAGCATCTCCTCCTCCTTCCTTTTTGAACAGGAGCATCTGTTAGTCTCTCAGTTTGGAAAGCTTACCTGCTCTCCTAGGCCCTTTGGAGAGGCATGGAGGACAATACTACATGTTGCCACTTGATGCCATTAAGGCTCCTCGAGGCAAGAAGACACTTGAATTAGGTCAGAGCCGGCCAGCAAAGGGGAAGGGGAGAGAGGGATGGGGAAGCAGCCCCATGGCAGGGACTGTAAGACCCCTGCCCAGACCTGAATCTAGAGGGAATGCCCACCCTGGCTCAGAGCAGGAGAGGAAAAGGCACTGTGCTGACCGGGGGTGGGTCCTGCCCCAATATCCAGGGAGGGTAGAGAACTTGTGGACTCTTTCCCTGGGCTTCCCAAGGTGAGCCAATTTCTAGAGAAAGAAGTGTACCTGCTAGGAAAGGGAAAATACTGCTGCTGTTTTCTGAAGTTCAACTGAGATTCTAGAAGCCATGGCCAGGCGTTCTCAGGAGAAAGTAGAGACAGGATAAGAAGGAAGAGAAATTCCTTAAAACAGAAGCTTCTCCAAAAAGATAAAGAAGTCAAAACACAATTCTGAAACTGGATTAAACAGTTTCCAGGCACAGAAAGGGGGAGGTAAACCTAAACTTCACCTCAGCTCTTCAAAGTCTAATTGACCTCTAATGTGATCCCCCAATTTCAGGCCAGTATCTCTTAGGCAAACAGTGGGAAAAAGAGAAGAAGGTCACACTCTCAAACCAGCCGGTGGCCCTGTAGGCCCCATGGCCCCCCCGGGAGTCTGACCCCACTGACACGTGAAGAGAACCATCTTTCAAGTCACCAGAATTCAAGATATCCACTGAGCAGCTTCTCCTCCATAATGGAGACTTTGTGGGAAAATGGACCTGGTTTAGGGGACATGGGTCCCACAGATTATTTCCTGGCACAACATTTCA